AACTCAACACCTGCAAATTCTTTTAGAACCTTCAGCTCTTGCATCCACTCATCCACACGCTGAATTGCAAAATCACGACAGAAAGCAGAGGTGCCCAGCCCAGCACCAAGGTAACGAATACCATCCGTCTTCACGACAATAGCCGTGTCTCCAAAGTACTCGCTGGCAGCCACCTCAAGCCCAGGCTTCACAAGCAACTGAGTTTTACTTTTATTTATAATGTATCCATAATCTTCACTATGAGCTTTTAAATTATCATACCACACTCGGACCGGATCAAACTTCCCCGCTGCGGCAAAGTCGTCCGCATACCATCTTTGGCAGACTCTATCTGCACAAGCAAGCAACGATTAGACCAAAGGTTTCAACGCAACAGCGTATATTGCCATTGATAAAGGATCACCCTGTGTGGTTCCCTCGTGAGACAGGATGCTTCCACCTCCAGATACATGCAGCGATGCTGGAAATTAGTAAGTATTTGTAGTTATTTGAGATAGTGGAGGGCACACCCTGGCAATGTTGCGAAAGACGGCGCATCGATTGAGGCTATAGAATGCATTCTGGGCATCCACCAACAACAAAGCCTCCGTTTTGGCATGCTGAAAAGCAATTTCCATTGCCTGGTGCATCGACTCAAGGCCCGTGGGGATCCTGGTACAGGCCTGTTCAACGCCACACGACTCCATAATATCGGACCTCATTACAGACAAGGCCTTTGAACAAATTCGGCGAAATACCTCACCCACCCCGATAGGTCTAACTACAGGATTTTTGTTATGCTCAATGAGACGGCAGACAACATAGGGTGCCAAAGACCATTCCGGTAATTGGACTGTACATATCATACGCAAAATATGGATATGGCATCACATAAGTCAGTCGATGCACGCTTCTAGAACGTGCACATTCTTCGCCAAGCGCCAGAGTCCAAACCAGACGGCCCGCCGATCCACGGACCGCCAAGGAAGTTTTTCTGTATCAAGTCAATATTCATTAATACCGGCACAGTCAATTTCATTCACATGGCCCTGTGGTCCGGGAAGCAACACATCCGGACTAGGCACAGCAGGCGCAGGGTGTTTCTGACGCAGGATATCACCAACAACGTAATCAGTGCCACCCACGGGCACCACATCATCCAAAGCAAGAACCGGCGTAACAGACTGCTCCATCCTGCAAGAGCTGAGCATGCGCATGGCCATCATAACTCTGCCCTGGTTCATAAATTTACCAAACTGGCGTGGTTGATCATCATCAAAATGACCCCATGACCAGTCCTACCCGTTAGGCCGCGTTGGATCGTGTCGTCCTCATCGAGGAGCTCGGTAAGATTTCCGTCTTTCCATAACATACAACGGCGCTCCAAGTGTTTGCCGCAATCCTTGGCTGCCATGGCACGCCCTTTGCAATTGCATTGTAGAAATAAAGAGGGTAAAATGAAGAACCTATACAAGGAATCAACATGCACTCCCTGAGGAATATTGAATTTTCATAGTTCCGTAGTAAGCAACTGAACAATAGTCTTGCCGGAGACCCCATTAGGCAAATCAAAATGGTTTTGTTGCCAACCAACAACCTTGTTATAGGCACGGATGACAGTATCGGATGGTATGACTGGAGGGTGTTGCTCCACCAGGGGTGTTGAGACAGGTGCATTCCCCGACCCCTTGGCAGGGCCTTCTCTATCCGGTACGTCAACACGCAGAGGCTGCCAGGAACATTCAACATCCAGCAAAGTGCATCCACTGTCATTTTTGTGTGGTTCGCAGGAATCGGTCAACAACCTGGGGGAAACCGATACAGAGGCGCGGACGACATAATCGGGTGGTACACCTAAAGAATGTTTCCCAACAGGGGGCGTCGAGACAGGTGCACTAGCCGACCCCTTAGCATGGTCTTCACGATGTAGTAAGTCAACACGCAGAGGCTGGCAGGGACATTCAACGCTACTCAAGGCGCAGGCACTGCCAAGTAGCTCATGTGGCACGCAAGCATCAGTCCACAACCTAGGGGAAACTGATACAGAAGCCATCCATGAACGTGGTGCTTCCCCATCTGGGCGCGCACCTCTCACAGTGGGGATAGGTACGGCGATGGTGGAAGAAGCCATCTCCGAGCGCCCACAAGGAGGCTGTGGAGCGGAAGACACAGACAACGCCGTGACGGATGCACCATCACGGCCATCAGCCTGCGTAATGTTAGGGATCCAATCACCGGCACCAGGCTCAACAGGCGTCAGGAAACCAAGAAAAGAAGCCGTACAGGAGTTAGTGTTACCATTTGTATCAGCACTACATGTAGCGGCATTAGTGGTTTGCCGAACCCTCGGGTCCAGCACATTAGTTTGAAACCTTGCTATTCTGGATCCAGGAATGCGGTTGGAATACTGCCCTTCCCGACCAGGGTAACAGTCAAATTACGGATTGCCGCTTGAGGCACACACGCAGCGAACACACGTGCCCCCTTTCGCACAGCCACGAGAAACCATTGTTGATTACCAAATGCAGCCACCAACAGCAATGCGCACAGCCCCAACAGAGGAGAAGTAATGATCCTGCCAAACGCACTGCAGAGCCATCGGAATGGCCAAAACAGCTGATAGAAAAGAATTTTACTTTGAAACTCGACGGGTGTTCGCAAGCCCAGTTGAAGCCGGAAGCCAATTAGATCGAGAAAGGAGCAGTGTGACGAAGGCACCAATCTCGTGGCAGTTTGACCAAATAAAGATAAATTAGATTTGAAGTAACCGTGGTGAAGAATTTGCAAGAGTGATGAATAGTAATAATGCTGGTATCAGAATGACGAAGCGAGCGGCAATGAAACCATACACGCTGTCGGCCGCCCCTGCAGCCGACCACGCCGCACTGCCACTTACACATGCAAGGCCAAGGAGCGGCCCATGTTGCGAACAAATGTAAAGAATGTTGACCAGGGGCGAAGGAACGAAGCAGAGCAAAGTGGTATTTTTCTGTGTATTTTGTTTCACTTTAATGTGCTGTGATCTTCATGGTTGCACCTTACACCAAGGCTGCTTTCTAAACAGTTGGTTCATACCTGGGTTTTGGGCAAACTTGACAAGTGCTGGCCTGCAGTGGTGACAGGATCCTGCACATTCCAGTCATGTAGGCATGTATTGAAGTCACCAATCTGCATGATTTGCGCATTGAGGGACACAATTCTACGAGCATAGAGAAAGTGTTCTAATGTATCCAACAATATAATTACCTACTGTGAACCCGGAAAGGTTTGTGCCCGCTTTAGTTCGAATTGCGATGACAGACCATTTTGCGCCCGTAAATGTTTGCCATTGGTGGATTTGATGAATGACTCGAGTCTACAGTTTCATGTTTACACCAACTTACTTTAGCAATTTCACACCCATTGTGAAAATGTCCAACGCTTCACAATCGCCAAGGTTTCTGTGTTTACAGCATACTCTGATGCGGGGTTGTAATCAAGCAAAGATGCACGTCGGATAGTTTGAGATCCTTTAAAAATGCAGTCTATTTAAACATATAATATTTAAACAAACGGCGAGGAGACAATATTTTGATAATCGAAATCAAGTATGGATGATCCCATGAGTACAAGGGGCATACCGCGGAATATTTTCCTTCCTTATGTATTTAGTTACAGTTTATTGAGTTCAAGTAGATAAACACAACTTGTGCTTTGAAGTACAGTAGTATATTAATTTTGCTCGTCAGCGCGTGGAATAGACGTTACATGGAGCGGAATCTGTGGAGCTGCCGTTGAACCGAACTTCCATGACAAGTTTAGACTAGAGATAGGAGTAAGTGCTATTAATGGGTACTGTACATGATGCTTTACACATGCAGCTAAGAATTCTAACTCACCTTTTAGGTTTAGGACTTTAGGTGCATTTTGAAGTGCATAATTTATCAGTTACGGAGGAAACTGTCTGCTGATATACATCTACATATACAAGTGTGCCATTTCGAAGTAAATTGTAATTCGTTCTTAATTCGTTCTAGATACTCCGCGGCCTATTCTTCTAAAATTGTAATGATGATGCCAGTCGCTCTTCTTTCCTATCGTTGGCTTTTCATGTATCAATTTTGCTCAGTGTTAGGACAATAACTTGAATAATAACGTCATGCATTGACAGTACGAATATACTATTGCATTGTAAGCGCATAGTATAACAAATTTTAAAAAAAGTGCACGTAAGTATTCTTGAAACTCGGATGTTGAGCCATAAATAAATGTAGAAGAGAAAAGGACATATCGATACGAGTTAAGAGTAACTCTCCATCACTGTAACATGATACTATATACAGTCAGAAAGTGCAATAACTAGGCACAACACTGACAGGGTACTGAAACATTCGACGTCCTGACACCTAGCTTCATCACTTGTACAATTCGTTTTCGCAAAGCTTCCCTTTCTTTATTTATCTTTGATATTTATGACCCACCCAAGTTGGGTGGTGTGCTGCTTTGCTGCTTCGAATTGTAGTTAGACCGCTTTGTCAAATATCGTACTGGTCTCGTCACCGTCCAGTAACAATCGACATTCTTTATTCCGTTGGGACTGTAGCTTTTGCTCATTTTCGTTGCGCTTGCCTTCCCCTCTTTGGTCTTTCCATAACCTTGAACCTTCCAAGTTGGAAGGCTGTCGGTTAGCGCTACGGAGATGTGTTGAAGCTAGGTGTCAGGACGTCGAATGTTTCAGTACTCTGTCAGTTTTGTGCCTAGTTATTGCACTTTCTGACTGTATATAGTATCATGTTACAGTGATGGGGAGTTACTCTTAACTCGTATCGATAGAGACCTTTCGATAACGATTTTCGTACACCATTTACGTAGTGCGGGAACGAGGTTACGAAGATCTTACGGAAGTTCGTCTGATCTGGACGGAAAAAGCCACTTTCAACGAATATTGCTTTCGTTCTTGTTTGGCGGGATTTGTTTCAGATTTTTCAGACTTTTCCCTCTACTCTTTCTCTTATCCCTAACCGTAAACGTGTCAGTGTACTATGGCTTCAAATTTACCTGCACCTGTTCCTCCGACACCTATTACACCGGATAGGCAACGGATAGTTTGGGACTCAGGCATGGACTTGGTCCTGCTCAGACAGATTCGTGGATCAGGAAATCCTTCTGTCCGTGGTTCGTCGGTAATGGATGATGTCGTGGTTGAACTATCCTCACAAGACCGGCGATTCGGCAATTTAAAAAAGAAAGGCGCTTCAGATAGGCTGCACCTGCTGATGTCGAAGCAGAAATCCAATGATAGCAAAAGCAAATCGGCCTCTGGTATTGTAGAGGACTTCTCCGAAGCAGACGTGCTTCTAACCGAGCTACAGGAGCTGAAGGCCGAGAAGGAGCAAGCCGCAGTGGCAGTGGTGACAGCCAAGCATGCGGAAAAGGCTGTGGCCGAGCAGATGCGAGCCGATGCTTGTAGGACCCTTTCGGAGAAATCTTCAGCGGAAGACCGGCCCCAGAAAACCAAGCGGAGCAGCACGTACGATCAAGCGGATCCTATTATTACGTACCTCGAGAAGAAAAATGATGCTCTTCTCAAGATTGAGGAGAGAAAAGTGTATTTGGAGGAGGAGAAGTTTGCTGCTTCTCATGGTGCAAATGCAGTCGCACTGGAGGAGCGAAGACTCGCGCTGCAGGTATGACCCATTTTTACTTTCATGCTGTATAGAATAAATTTCTAGAGAAAATGCTTCAAATTGTTCATGTGTTCAATTGTTTTTTTGTTTATTGAATTTTCTGATTTCTGTTGGTGATTCTGTTCATGTTACCCAGGAGAGGGAGATGGCCCTGAAGGAAGAGGCTCAACGGGACGAGCTTGCGTCAAAAAAGAAAAAGGAACAAGAAGAGAGCAAGAAAGCAGAAGATGACCGTCAAGATCGCAAGCAAAAGGCAGAACAGGACCGCGAGGAACGCAGTATGTTTCTGCGGCTAATGGCAGCCACTGTCAAAAAAATGCAATAGCTTTTTCACTTCTTCACGAAGGAACAGCCCTTGCTTTGTAGCTTATCCACTAGTCCCGCTTTCACCCAGCACTTCACAGTTGTATACCTGTAACCATTCCAATGTTAACGTCATTCTAACCAGTGTTATCAATGCCTTTTGACCAATTTCACCATGGAATTTCATTGAACAGATATAACAGAGTCTTCACCATTCCATAATTGAATGAATGACTAAACGTAGTCTGTTTTTAAAACTGCTAAGTAGAGGGAATATCCACAGCCAAGATGTTTACAGTTCTTTCATGGTCTAAGTGTTTGTTGTAAAATGGAGAGATGGCACAGCAACAGAATGATGTAGTGCTGACATCATTGTAGATACTCTGCTAAGGTAGGTGGAGATAAGTTGAAATACTTTGATGTCTTGTTGCCTTCTCGGCAGATGGTACGGCAATTTGTGAGGAGTGCAGACACCTTGTAGTAGGCAGCAACGGGCTGAAGCATGATCTTCTGCTGCTTCTTGAAATTATTGAACGCCCACTGTGCAACGACATCACCAAAGCTCAATTCCACCACCATACGTGCAGAATTCATAGCTGTATTGAATTCTTGTTGCTCAGCTGTTAACGCAGCTCCTTGATAGCCCTTCATAAGAAACGGCGACAGTGGGTATGCAGGATCTCCATACAGTGCACATGGCTGACCATTTGGTTTCCTGGCAAACTGTTGCAGCCTAGGCAGCAAACCACTTTCCAAGAGAACACCTGAGTCGTGCCGTCTGCCTTCAACGGGACCAAATAAATGGCAAATCAAGCCATCTGGTGTGACACAGGACTGGAATTTGAGGGCATGAACCCGTTTATGTCCATTGTAGAACATGCGCTGGTGAATAGACGGCTTGCAAACACTCCTAACTGTGCCATCAATGAAGCCCCATACATCCAGTGGCACACTTGTCTTTCGTCGGACTGCCTGGCAATACTTGGCAAATCTGGCAGGTGTCAGGAACTGGTGGGTAAACGGATCAGTCAACAAACCATCCCAATTCCTGAAAATCCATTGCAGGGTGATATTGAACACGATGCTCAGTGATGGTTTGGACCTCCCAAATTCTTCGCACATATCACCAAGAGTGTTAGGATACGAAAGACGCCTCAAAACCACCAGCACCCTTCCAATCCTGTCCAACAGTGTCGTGACGGAGCACGAAACCTCGCTGGGAGGCTGAGCCGTTCAAGCAACTCCATAACCTGTGCTTTCGTGAAGCGATATCTGCGAGAACATGTCTCCTCATCAATTTTTTCAAAGTTTAATCGATTACCCACATGCTGAGGGAGATTCGCACAGGTATCTTCAGTTATGCAATGGATGAGAAGTAGGAGCTCCTCTTCATCCAACATTCCATTCTCGTGCTCAAGAAGGAACAGAGATAAAAGCATTTTGAATTTTTGATGATTGAGTCAGATCCTGGCTATAGCATATAATTACAGACCGGTCGTAGCTTGAGTGATCATGGAGTGGAGATAGGAGGAAATCAAAAAACCAGCGTGGGGAATAGAAGGGTGCAAAGTTCAGGTCATGAACTGCGCACCGCCGGTGAGAAATATGTTGCTACGACAACAACGCAACGAAATGTGGACATGCGAGCGAAACGAAAAATTTACGAAACTTCGGTACGTAATCCAGACCAAAGGAAAATTAACGAAAATCGTTAGCGAAAGGTCCGTGATATGTCCTTTTCTCTTCTGTAAGTATTCTTGTTCTGTATATTGTGCAAGCGCATGTGGTGTCTGGGTACTGGGTGTGTGTGGATCCAGAGTGTTCGACGTGCACTGGAGTACTGTCATCGTGCCAGGCACTGCCTTTGCGGCAGGGTCTGGTGCAGTGGCAGTGCACCAGCGTACATAGAACACCTAGGATCAAAGGTGGTACGAATGTGTACGAATGTATATGTTGGACTCAGTAGAGCGCCCAGCCCCTATATGATGTCCAACCCCTATATAGAGTCCATTGGTCCAAAATCCATTGTACAGAGTCCAAACTTGGAATCAACGTGAGCTCAAAGTTTAGATGGACATCACTCCCTGTATAGAGTCCAGCCAATTGGCTTCACCCCTATATAGAGTCCATTAGTCCAAAATCAACTGTACGGAGTCCAAACTTTGAAATCAACTATAAAGATTAAAGAGTCTTTGTGTGGACAACGCTCCCTGCATAAAGTCAAGCCAATTAGGCATCCCCTATCGAGTTCGAAATTAGCCATAGGATCTGCTGTAAGCAGTGAATATTAACCAGAAAACGGCCTGTCCCTTTAATCCTTTACATCATTCACTTCTCAAGATAAAAAAAATATGTATTGAGGCGCCACTGCAGCCACTTCATTACATGAAAAACCCTACAAACACCATCCTCAAATCAAGTGGTCTCTTCGCAGACGCTGCAAATGACAATATCTCAATCATGCAGTGTTGCCAAATTATTGTGCACGCACACACACATGCACACACCCACACAACGCCAAGAAAATACCGAGAAAAAAACAAGAATCGAAAGAGAATAATGGAGAGCCCAGGATTAATTATTTGGTTTCAAACTATTGCGCGCGCACGCACACACACACACACACACACAAACTTATACAACGCCAAGAAAACACCAAGAAAAGAGTAGAGACACAATACACACGCGACTCCAACAGCCATGCAAACGTCCACCCATTTACACGTAAAGTCAAGAGGGATAACAAAATAATTATACGAAACAAATGCATACAGGGACGGGTACACGCACGTTTACATACACGTAGTAGTGTAAGAGAGTAACATAGTGCATTGGTCAGCATAATACTAGCACATGCTGAGAGTGCAATAGCAAGCTTCACCATTGCTCATGGCCATGCAAATGTTCAGCAGCACTCACTTCCGCAAGCTTCTGAAGATCAGCACACCTGCAAGAAATAGATAGCACAAGGATACGCTTATTACCGTAATGATGCATGGGAGCACACAACCACCAAGGTCTCAACGAATGTGATGCTCAATGAAAATCAATCCACTCAAAGACCTGTGAACAGCTGTGGGGACAATAATCTATTAGTAATACGAGGAATAAGATCGTTTGTGCACACTCAAGACGCACAGACACACCAACATACATGTAGTGTACACAGTGTTTCACTTCACTGCAACTAAATTGAAATGAGATGATTTGAACAATCTGTACAGCGTTGCCGTCAGTCAGTCTTCCCCAAGATGGAAATGCAATGATTTGTTGGCACGAGGCAGTTTCACTGACACAATGTCATGTTTGTGACATCAAAACGGTTACTTCAGGGAATACGAGTATTAGCTTGAGAAGCTTTTCTTGTCATTGGCATACAAGCAATCCTCCTACTACTACTAGTACACTGGCACTGCGTTTGTGGATCCCATTGTATTTGACATCATACTAGAGGAAGAGTGTCGTGGAGTTTCACATAGTTATCACAGGGATAAAAATACATTTCTCATGAAATAATTATAATAATTGGTGATAGCTAGACGATCGCATACGATTGATGCAAAGTCCTTGCAGTCCTTGAGGGCTATTACGAAGTGGTTGATTACTTTTAGGGCATTCATTCAAGCAACATCAAACAAACGCGATACGCTCCTTGAAAATGGAAAAAAATTCAAGCATAACGACAGAACAGCAGACCAATCGAAACGAGTAAAAGCTTCCTTACCTCAGTCATCGTCCTGCCATGTAGTTGGACAGCCTTTTGACACGGTGGTACAGGGAGCTCTTGTCCAGTCAAACAGGGGTATCCTTTTGGCGTCGAACGAAAGAGAGTGTCAGTGTATCTGAATCGTCAGATTGGAACTGTGCTAAACTTTTCTCTTTCTCCGCTTTCTGCTTTCATCCCTCGCTCTGATGAAACCGTTTAAACGTCTTACTGGCAGCAATGGCCAGCCAAACAGGGGATCCTTGTCGAACGAAAAAGAGTGTCAGTGTACCTGACTCGTCAGATTTGAACTGTGCTGAACTTTTCTCGTTCTGCAATTTCTGCTCTCATCCCGCGCACTGATGAAACGTCTTGAGAGAACCACAAGACGCTTTCCATAGATTTTGAACGTCTCCTTATCCTCCTTGGTTACCTCTGGACAGATTACTGTCAGCAACTGCACAGCAGAGCTGGCAGCCATGGCTGAAGTGAAGAAAGGAATGCGCTGCCACGAGGCAAGCAAAACTGAAAATGTGTTTGTTCTCTTTCGGGCGCAACACACAGGACGGCGTGACTGGATAAACTGGACTCCTGGACTGTGAATAGGGGACTTGTAGAAAAAGTGTACTCCTTATAGGGGATTGCGTGGCAGGATGAAGCTGGTCAAAACTGAGTGGACTCCTGGATTCTGTATAGTGGATTTTGGACCAATGGACTCTATATAGGGTGCTGGACATCATATAGTGCATGGACTCTATACTGAGTCCTACATATATTCCCCGGAGTTCCAGGGAATATCGTGCTTTATCACTCTCTTATTATTGACCCCCACAGAAACTTGTGATCTCTAAGCGGTCAAATCACGGCTGTTACGCATGCATTGAATGCGGCCAGAATCCTCTGGGCACGAGGCCGCAGGTGACCTGCTGAGAATGCATTGAGGACCACTTGACATGTTTGAAATTTGTCCTTGACAGCCTCATTGTTTTAGGGAAGTATCTCACGGGTTGCCGTCGTGTTAGGGGCCCCGAGTATTGTTTCAGGCCGATTACTACGAAGGTTTTGGTGTTTTACACTCACGTGCAGCTTGTTCTCTCAAAAGAAATTGTCGAAGTCGAAATAGTTGTCCGTGCCGGATCGTTCTTCTTCTTCTTGTGCTTCTGGCAGCTATTAGAGTGGGTGCCTCGTTTTTGTAAACTTCAGTTCTTGTTGGAGTACGAAGGTAAGGTCTTTATGTTGTGTGAGGAGTCGTCCTCGTAGCTTTACGCTCCTTTACGATTGTTTTTTTCAGGCCAGTTTGTAATTGCCTGTCTAAAAAT